CTAGTTATTACTATCACATGTATTAAATCAAAATTGACCTCGGTGGTCTAGCGGTCTAGCACACCGCTTTACGACCGATGGTCGCGGGTTCGATTCCTCGCACGCCACAAACATTTGTATTCATGTGATTGTTTGTATCGGTCTGGGTGTTTTCTATGTATAATATGTATTAATTAAATATATATATATATATATCTATGTATATGTACCCATAACACAAGCTTTAGCTAGCTTAACTTGGGTCTAGATAGCGCTGTGTGAATTGTCCTGGGATTATTATTATTATTAAAATTTAATATGTGTAAGATTTAATTTTGTTGCACTTCACATAACGGTAGTGCCAACTTTTAGAAAACGCAGCGTTAATTACTCTATGGTACCAATAACATCAGACACGTGTCTGCCTAGAATGCGAGTGGGTATAAACATTTAATTATAGAGGATTAAAACATGACGTTGATCTACATCATTATTTTCGTTTGAAAGTCAAACGAACATCTCGCGCATGCGCGGAAGTATTTAATTCCAAAACTATTTGGCGATTCTGGGAATTTAAAATTGAAAATAGAATATACATTAATAATACTACAGCACCTGCTGCCAAACGAAGAAAAAAAAATACTAGTCGTCCAGTTGTCAAATTCGACCATAATTAATTTAATATTCAGTAAGACTATAAACAAGTAATATTAAACACAAACAATATTAATTTATTCTCAATATGACCACAGACTAACAATAAACAAGAAAGTATAATGATTCCAAAACTATTTCGCGATTCCGGGAATTTAAAATTGAAAATAAAATGTACATTAATAATACTGTTGAGCCTCTTGCCAAAAGAAGAAAAAAAAAATACTAGTGGTCGCCCAGTTGTCAAATTCGACCATAATTAATTTAATATTAATAGTAATATTAAACACAAACAATATTAATCTATTCTCAATTTGACCACAAACTACCTGTTTAAAAATAAATTGTTTTAAATGAAAAATCTTGATCTTGTTTTATCTAGTTGTATTGTTCAAAAATCACACATTAATTAATTTTTGACAGATTAAATTAATTACTTTTTTTTTCTTTTTACTTAATACGAGTACTGGTACATAACAATGACAAAAGAGGTTGTATACATATATTAATTAAGCACTAACGATAAACAAGAAAGTATAGTGATTCCAAAACTGTTTCGCGATTCTGGGAATTTAAAACCGAAAATAAAATGTACATTAATAATACTGTTGAGCCTCTTGCCAAAAGAAGAGAAAAAAAGTTGTCGCCCAGTTTTCAAATTCGACCATAATTTATTTATATTCAGTAAAACTATAAACTCAATAATATTAAAGACAAACAATACTGATCTATTATCAATTTGACCACAGACTTTAACAATAAATAAGAAAGGTTATAAATAATTTAATATTGCTTAAGACTATAAACAAATAATATTAAAAACAAACAATATTTAATATATTCTCCATTTGACCACACAGGCGACAGATGAAAGACGACTGCATGCAACTGAAATGCGAATGTTGAGGTGGATGTGTGATGTGACAAGAATGGATAAGATAAAGAATGAACACATTAGAGGAAGTATGAAAGTGGCGCCGGTGTCGGAGAGGTTGAAGAGTAATCGTCTATCATGGTATGGACATGTAATGCGTAGGAATGAGGATAATATTTTAAGGAAGGTGTTACATATGAATGTGGATGGTTATAAGGGCAGAGGAAGGCCGAAAATGAGATGGATGGACTGTGTGAAAGATGATATGGTAAGGAAGGAAGTAAATAACGCGATGACTGCGAAAAGGGATGAATGGAAGAGAAAAACATATTACGACAACCACAAATAAATGGGATAAGGAAGAAGCAGATGATGATCTCCATTTGACCACAGATTTCATTATAATTATCATTACATAGTATAAAACAAAGTCGCTGTCGCTGTCTCTCCGTCCCTATATATGCTTAAATCTTTAAAACTACGCAACGGATTTTGAAGCGGTTTTCTTTAATAGATAGAGTGATTCAAGAGGAAGGTTTATATATGTATATAAAACATGTACACCCGGGCGAAGCCGGGGCGAGTAGCTAGTTAAAAATAAATAATAAATAACAATAAATATTAAATAATTTAATATTCAGTAAGATTATAAACAAATAATATAAAACACAAACAACGTCTCATATAATATGACGGCCTCGGTGGCCTAGCGGTCTAGCACACCGCTTTACGACCGAATGTCGCGGGTTCGATGATTATTCATGAGTATGATTGTTTGTATCGGTCTGGGTATTTTCTATGTATAATATGTATGTATTTACAAAAAAAAATCTATGTATATGTCTGTCTAAAAAATCTATGTATGTGTATATGTGTATAGTAGTTATCTAGTACCCATAACACAAGCTTTAGCTATCTTAACTTGGGTCTAGATGGCGCTGTGTGAATTGTCCTGAGATTATTATATTATTATTATTATTATGTTTATCTATTCTCATTTTAACCAGACTATAACAATAAACAAGAAAGTATTATTATTATTATTATTATTATTGTTATTCTTTATTTTTTCTCAGCTATTGCTGGTTTTCTCCACACTTACGGGCCGAAACCAAGTAAGTGCAGAGTGTGTGTATGTGTGTGTGCGCGTGTATTAGGGTTCAAGGGAAATCGTTGGGTTTTGTTCCCGGGAAATCAAGCTCGAGAAAAGTCGAGAACTCGAGAAATCAAGTACCTATATAGAAATTAAATTGCACTTTGTTGTATTGCGTGGCGGCGCAATAATACAAGATATTAAGGTTTTCTTTCATGTATTTTTTTTTGTTTTACAGAAACTATTTTTGTTTACAAGTTTAAGGTAGATTTTTTCTAAATATCCAGCCAAAAATGGTGCTGTCATTATAAATATAAGTCTGAATAATATTAGGTCCTAACATATGAAAGTGGTGTTTTGTAAGGGAGTAACCTGAAGTTTTTTTTTTTTTTCAAAATATAACATGTTTATTTAATCAAACTATGTACCATTGCTATTTATGCACTTTTGACATCTCATAGGTACATTGATCCCTTTACTGAAAAAAACATTTGAACGGGAACATTTGGACATATCAATAAAATCTTTGGACTTTGGACTGCCCCATCGGATTTGAATTTTTTCCCAATCAGTTATCCAAATTTCGAAAAAAATGGTAATCTGTTGGAGCAAAATCCGGGGAGCAATTGTAAAGTCTTATACATTACAATTGAATCTCTTCTAATTTGGTAAATGTCAGTTGTGCAGTGTGTGGTCTAGCGTTGTCCTGAAGCAGCAGTAGCCTACGGCGATTGACCAGCCTCGGTTGTTTAGCAGCTAGCTTTTCCATTATGGTTTCTCAATTGCTGACAACACACATCTGCCGTAATCATCTGGCCAGATTTAAGAAAGCTGAAGTGAACAACACCGGAACTAGTCCACTAAACGCTCGCAAGTAACTTTTTTTGGGTCAATTTTCGCTTGGGGCAGGATTTGGTTGGTTTGCCAGGGTTCAGCCATTGCGATGAGCGTTTCCAATTATCATACAAGATCCACATTATCACAGGTAATGATGCGATTTAAAATCCCTTTATTATTATGCCGGTTGACTAATGTAACGCAGCAGTCTACGCGCGTTTGTCGATCGAAACGCGAATTGTCTACTCAATTCATGAGGGACCCACCTTTTAAGCTTTTTCACCCTCCCAATTTGCTACAAGTGGATTAATACAGTTTTGTCACTAACACCGCAACCTGCAACTAACTCGGACGTGGTTTGCGATGGATCTGCTATCATAATAGCCTTCAATTCTTCATTACCAACCTTGGACTCCAGCCGTCTACGGGGATTGTTTTGCAGGTCGAAATTTCCAGAACGAAAACGTTTCAACCAAAAATGCATTGTGTTTTCTTTTGCGACACCACCACCATACACATCATTAATCCTTCGAGCCGTTTCTGCAGCACTAGTGCCATGGCGGATCTCGTACTTGTACTTGTAAATGACGCGATATTTTAAGTTTTCTATTTTATAAGCTGAGTGACCCAAAGAAAAAACCAAGCATATGTATTACGGTTTTCGAAAAACAAATGCATGAGTGAATAGCCGTATAAATTTGAAATTGAAATTTCTAACCAAAGAGGAGATATTTAAGATCAAAGTGGCCAGTACGACAAAACGCTAATTTCATATGTAAGAACCTAATATATTTCAGTATTTAAAAAAAATGGCTTATTCATAATATGTATAATGTTTTTAAATATACCTACTCAATAAAAGTTTTATAATTAATTTTATAGTTAAATTTTGTATTTAATATTTAACAAAAAATGCAGTGGTTTTCGTCTCAAATGAAACAACTGAGTTTTTTGACGTTATTGGAACCAAATAATATGAGAAAACGTACGTAAATGTAAATTTCTCGACAACCCGAGAAGACCCGAGAAATTAACCTCGAGAATTCTCGAGACCCGAGAAATTGAAAAGCTCGAGAAATCATGAACCCTAGCGTGTATGTATGTGTGAGTGTGTGTGTACTTATTGTGTGCCTGGTGTGACTGGTGTTATATCATTTTCATCGATTTCTAGAAATTTTCGGACTGTACGACAAGTATTTAAGATGGCAGCTTTTTGAAGGGTAATATAAAGTGTTTTTTGTATATCTAATTGTTTCAGGCTATGATGTAGGTGTTTGGGTATGATACCTGTAGATGAGAGGACTATGGGTATTATATAAACTTTTCCTGTTTCCATTTATTATTTTCTGTTATAATAGTTTCCATTTCCTGTTATTATTATTATTATTATTATTATTATTATGTGTAGAAATAAATTAAGAAAATAAAATTAATTTAAATAAGAAACTGATATCAGCGAATGTTCATGTTTATTTCGAGACCAGCAATTTATACTAAGCTAACTCGAACTGCTATATGATTTGCTCTTGGTTATTATTAAAAAAATATTATTAGGTAACTTACTTGTGGTCAATATGCTTCGGGTCTCCCGGCTCAATGATTTCTGCTATACTAACTTCCTCTTCCTCTTCTTCTTCTGTTATCTCCTCTTCTGTCTCACTCGTACTCACGTCACTGTCCGACTCTACTTCTACACTCTTTAATTCACTGTCACCTTCTATGAATCCACTGTCACTGTTATCACTCGAAATTCTTTTCAAGTCCCCTTCAATTTGAACCTTATCTCCATCGGATACGTCCTCATTCACATTAATCACAGTCTTGTTATCACTCTCGCTCCTCGAGACTACGTAACCTCCTAGCAACTCATCGTTATCTGGTATCGACTCTTCCAAATATTCCTCTTCGGAGGTGAGCGATTCAAATGAAGAATCAACTTCCTCATCCGTCTGTTGTTCTCCATCATCAAATACGATATGCTTTCTAAACGTGACACGTTTCTTACCAGAATCCGATCTGTCATCGTCAGAACAACCCTCCGTATCCGATTTCGGCGGTTTCAAATTCGATTTCTTCTTTAAAGCTGGCGAATCGTCAGCTCTGTCGATATCGGTTTCGATCTGCAACAACTTCTCTAATTCCCCTTTCAATTCGTTTTTGTACGTATCTATTCCGTTATCTCTGTCTATTGCTTCGTAAACAGGCTCGTGCTCTTTACTATCTGTGGCGCCCATTTGGTTCTCATTTATTTTGTCTATGGTGCAGTCTATACTCCTCGCTATCTCCCGGAGCAGTGCCTCAGCATGTCGCTTCTCGTCCAAAACAGGTTCGTTCACGTACACTAACGACACATGGCGGTCTGGTTTCGCTGCGTATTTCTGTAGGACTAAAGCTTTCACGAACTCAGCAGCGTCTGTATCTTGTTTATTTTCGGCAGGCGTAGGCGCGCCGCGCGGCTCTACGTCAGAATTACTCCGCTGTAGATTTACTTGCGTCTCTTTCTGCGGACTCATCCTACAGGACTCTGTTCTTTTCTTTTTATTTTTCCTCTTTTTTCCAGCCATTATCTGCAGTATTGCACCTACGCCGCTCTTTTGATTGTAATCCGTTTCAGGTATTAGAAGATTCACTACATCCTTGGGAACTGTGTTTGCTTTTTCATTCGTTACATCACTTTCGTTTCGCGCGCGCGCGTCGACTGTCTTGTGGGAATCGCTCGGATTTTTCCGAGGCGAGTCGGGCGCGTTTTTCTTTTTAAAGAAATTAAACATGGCGACTATCGTTCGGGAACCATGTCTGTTAGCTTCGACGTTTCAACGCGTACTGTTTCAGAACGAGTTCTATAATTCTATTATTTACTTGGTTTAAAGTTTGCGATCTCTGTTTGTGTAGTTGGAGTTTGTTTTAATAAACTTCATTAATAGTAACGTTAGGTAATTTGTTAGAATACTTGTTTTTACTGCATGTTATGTATGTACGTAAGGTATATGTTATATAGTTGCTAGAAATAAATGAACAAGTAAAATATATACATTCATGACTTATTTATGAATTACGTCGCATCAATTTCAATGATTTTTACAATTGTACACGATAATATATTCATTCTATATATTTATATTATAATGGATTGGTGCACCCGCCTCTACTATAACGGTATACGCTGGCGGGGCACCAGTGGAAGATGATACGATGAGGAACCAGTCAGGTCAGTTCCATGCTCTTATAAAATAATAAGAATGATACAGTGAAAGTACCAGGATAACATGAAGTTACAGGCAGTTAGGTGATGTGTTTGGTACTACTGTTCATATATATAGGCGACGGTTGACACTCTATATACTATAGAATCGAATGTCTTCCATAAGGAATGATGCACTCGTCTGCGGTAATGCTATACGCTGGCAGGGTACCAGTGGAGGATTATATGATGAGCATGCATCATGGTCAGTTCGTACATCGTGGCCATTTTACTACTATTTATCAACTATAGTTGCATCGACTACACCGCTTTACTATCCGATGGTAGTGGGTTCGATTCCTCGCACGGTACAAACATTTGTATTCATGAGTATGATTGTTTGTATCAGTCTAGGTGTTTTCTATGTATAATATGTGTTTATTTACAAAAAAAATGTATCCATGTATTTATATCAGTTGTAGTACCCATAACACAAGCTCTGCTAAGCTTGGGACTAGATGGCGCTGTGTGAATTGTCCTGAGATATTATTATAGTTTCCTAAAGACAACATATATTTACTTATATATATAGCATATATATTATGTAATATATACAAAATTTACAAAGATATTTATAGATAATTTAATTAATGCTGGTATCCGCTCTACTCTCCCTAATTTGAATTTAGAAATGAATCTGTATTTTTGTAAACATGTACAAGCTCATTAGAAAATAATAAGACCTGAGTTTCTATTTTGTAAACATATATCTACCAGCTCATTTGAAAAGAATACGAGCTGAGTTTCTTGTCAGTTCTTCTCATCTCGAAATCATTCCGAACTGACGGTAGATTTGACATATCATAAGAGTCTGTAATAGACCTACATGAATGAAGATATTTTGAATTGGATTTGGATACTTTTGGATTTCTTACTTTTTCACGCAAAGCTACTGAACGGATTTTGATGAAACTTTACAGTAATATAGCTTATATGTTAGAATAACACATAGGCTATTACTGTTATGCGGGTGACACCGCGGGCACAGCTAGTTTTCTATATATTAGTATACGTACATTTCTATATATTAGTATACGTTCTTCTATATAAAACTCTATACCTACAATATGCTATATTAACCGGAAATGAACTCACTACCAGTACTTCAAGTGTGTATAGTTAGCCGCTGTGCCACAAGTAACGTCTTAGTTATTTTATGCACATGGCCGTCATAAATGCTATGCAGTGAATATAATCTTGAACCAAGTTAATATTCATGAGTTCAGCCGGATGCAGTCCCATCTGGAGCCGAAGTTGAAGCGAGTCAGATGTATTATAGTGATGGGACGTACTATCGATACCGATAGTAATATCGATAAAATATAAACAAATATTATAAGTTTAAAAATATTCTTTTGTTTGTTTTGTAACTGGCTAGTCAAAAATATTTTATACTAGCTGACCTCGCGAACCCCATTCCGCTTTAAAATTAAATAATATGTCATGGATATTCTTAAGTTTAGTAAAGCAATAAACGAACGAACCTTGTTTGACAGATACGAACAGTTTGTATCGAAAAATATAATTGCTGTTTTTATTATTTCCTATGCAGTTTCTTCATATGTAACACCGTTTTAACCTCCCCTGGTCTTCCACGAATATTTTAAGACTAAAATTAGCCAAATCAGTTCAGCCGTTCTCGAGTTTTAGCGAGACTAATGAACAGCAATATATGTATATATATATAGATATAACACCCGTGATACCAATCATGCGTTGTAAATACAGAAAACTGAGATGTCATGTCTCTTACCCTGTAATTTCACTGCCTAATTGCATCCTACAAATGAAACTGTGAGGTATCCGCGAAGACTTTCTGCAAAGTGAAACTCTGGTAAATGATGATGGTGTTGATGATAACATTAATCATCATCATATACATCAACACGATGAAGTAAAAACAGCTATCATTGCCAAATTAAACTGTTATTTCCCACATTAATTTACAATGCAAATATTGACACGTGTCTGGTCCCCTGTCCAATTCAAACAGGGATCGAAATTACGACGGTCTGAGCCGAGATTCGAACCCCTAGCAGTGCCCTCAGACTAAAGCTGCATCCATCAGGAGGGAGTTGGTATTCAGTCGCTCCATAAGTCCTTCCGCATGTAAGGAGTGCCATCTGCACTCGCCTCTTAACGTTCAGTAAAGCTGTAAGGGCCAGCTGTGGCATTAGAATAATTCGAAGAAAGAAAACGTGTCTGAATGTAATAATCAATTATTGTTTATAATAAAAAGTCATAATACACTAGTTTTGTTTCGCGACTGGAAAATGTTTATAAATTGATATCAAATCATCCTAATATCTTTCTTAATAGAACCAGAATTCGACTGCGTCTCATTCTAACTAATCAGATTACTTTGTAAGCTGTATTTCGGATGTACGGTGCAGATTAAGCAGTGAAATTACAGGATAAGACGCATGAGATCTTGTGCCTCTGAAATGGCAACCCATGAGGCTTCATACGATAACGTACAGAGACGACAGTTACCGTTTGCCACCAGGTGTGCAATAAGCTTATTTGCCATTCCAATAACATAGATATCAACCCACAATCACTGTTCCAATAAACAATGGAAACACTGCCAACTGGGCCACGCTTTTCGCTACACTAGAATTCCACGTGTCTCGCCACACGAAACGCACAACGTGTTCATTTTATGCGTTTCAGTTTTAAGATATGACGCTTTGCATTTCACTAAGTTCGTGACACTCTGTGCCAATAATAATTTATGATCCATTCGATCAATTGTTGTTTATTTCTTTTAAGAATCGATTAAGATAGTGATGTCTTCCTTTATCATCGATAGAGTGCGTAGCGGTTTATATGTTGATTATCGCATGCCTCTTACTTAGTATTATGTAACTATTAATTTAAAATAATATTTATTCAAAACAGCAACACACAAGTTTTTGCTCATTCGCCTTGTGAAGAATCAGCGTTCGGAATGAGTGGTAGGGTAAAAAAGTATGACTATTCAAAAGTGCTTGTATTGAGTTTATTTGAATAAAGATTATTTCTATTTCTATGAATAAACAAGCTGCAGAGAGAGAAGACTACAGAGGACATGGACCACAGTGGAGCTGACTTGTAAGGTACCTTACCAAACCTGAAAAAATAAATTATCTAAATACTAACTATAATATGTAATATCCATAAGAAAGTTCACACTCGACAGTCTAAAAAAAATATACAGACACGATTTCGCATTTAGAAATATCAATATGGATATATTTATACAAAAATATTTGGCAGAATAAGTACAATGTCATTGTGTTATATCCTTCCAGTTACATAAAAAACGAAGTATAAATTATGACCAAAATAAATGTGACGCTGTAGAATTGTCATCAATTAAGCGGCGCCTTTTATTTATTAAGAAGACAATTGCAACGAATCAGTTTGTTTAAAATTTGAGGTTCCTAATTTAAAACTCATACAAGTATATAATAATAATAATAATAACATCTCAGACGGTTGGGATTCCGGGGCGGCTCACTCCCGGGAAAGATGCAGAAAGCGGTGCTGTTAGATTCTGCCCGCATTGTACGCCGGTTTCTCTCCCTGGGGCCCTGAACCCCGGCCGACTGTGCTTCTGCCGGGGGTATGTTGTCATCTCCTCTCCTTAAGAGGGGAGATGAGTATATTTGGAAAAAAAAAAAAAACTTTATTTGCCAATAAAACACTTTTACATTCAATACACATTACGGCGAACCACACACTAGACATGCAAGTCTGTATCGTGTGGTTCAGAGGATTAATTGGACAACAAAAAAGTAATTAATTGTTCCGAAATATAGTGGATGGTGGAAGATTACTCCAATAAATAATTATATATGATATTCTTTTTATAGAAAATATTTGATAATTACATCCTTGATAATGTGTATTTATTTAAAAGAGCAAGTAAGTTTGCAAGTTCCTAGTTCATTCTTCTTGTGCTGAATCTACATTCCGAATTAGTGGTTTCCATTCTCTACTCACTCTAATGCTCTATTCAATCGAGAACTTTCTCGTATTGATCGATAAACAAATTAGTGCCAAAGACAAATATCGATATCGATATGGTCGCGTGTCTAGCCTCACTTTCACTGAGCATGAATTTTATTTAGTTGAAGCAGTGACTTTTGTATTTCAATCGAGAAACTTCTCGTATTGATTGATAACAAATTAGTGCCATAGACATATCGATATCGATATGGTCGCGTGTCTAGCCTTACTTTCACTGCGCATGCGTTATATTTAGTTGAGGCAGTGACCTTTGTTAAGGGCTATTTCGGTGTCAAGTGACTTGCGCCAATACTTCAAATGATCATGCGTCTTGCTCACGCGCTCCTGTGCTGCTGAATAAGATCTATTATTAAAAAGTATTTTTTTGTGTAACTGGAAGCACAAACTGACGATATAGATGGAAAGTGTTTTATATGTATATTATATGTTTATAATATGTCTATTTATTTATTTATTAAAATTTCAATACACATATATCTATAGTAATAATATATATATAATATAACATTATAAAGCTGAAAGTTTGTTCGTGTGTTTGATCGCACTTGTCTCAGGAACTACTGGTTCGAATTGAAAAATTATTTTTGTATTGG